TATCCAGGTTGGGAATAAGATAATAGTTAATATAGTAACCAGGTCGGGAATATAATAATATTTAATATAGTATCCAGGTTGGAAACAAAATAGTAGTTAATAAAGAATCCAGGTCGGGAATACAATAGTAGTTAATATAGTATCCAGGTTGGGAATACAATAATAGTTAATATAGTATCCAGGTCGGGAATACAATAATAGTTAATATAGTATCCAGGTCGGGAATACAATAGTAGTTAATATAGTATCCAGGTCGGGAATACAATAATAGTTAATATATTATACAAGTCGGGAATACAAAAGTAGTTAATATATTATCCAGGTCGGGAATACAAAAATAGATAATATAGTATCCAGGTCGGGAATGCAATAATAGTTAATATAGTATACAAGTCGGGAATATAATAATAATTAATATTTTATCCAGGTCGAGAATACAACAATAGTTAATATATTATCCAGGTCGGGAATACAATAATAATTAATATAGTATACAAGTCGGGAATACAATAATAGTTAATATAGTATCCAGGTCGGGAATACAATAGTAGTTAATATAGTATCCAGGTCGGGAATACAATAATAATTAATATAGTATCCAGGTCGGAAATACAATAATAGTTAATATAGTATACAGGTCGGGAATATAATAATAGTTAATATAGTATCCAGGTCAGGAATACAATAGTCGGTAATATAGTATCCAGGTCAGGAATACAATAGTCGGTAATATAGTATCCAGGTCAGGAATACAATAGTCGGTAATATAGTATACAGGTTGGGAATACAATAGTCGTTAATATAGTATCCAGGTCGGGAATACAATAGTCGTTAATATAGTATCCAGGTCGGGAATACAATAATAATTAATATAGTTTCCAGGTCGGGAATATAATAATAGTTAATATAGTAACCAGGTCGGGAATAGAATAATAGTTAATATAGTATCCAGGTCGGGAATACAATAGTAGTTAATATAGTACACAGGTTGAGAATACAATAGTCGTTAATATATTATCCAGGTCGGGAATACAATAATAGTTAATATAGTATCCAGGTTGAGAATACAATAGTCGTTAATATAGTATCCAGGTCGGGAATATAATAATAGTTAATATAGTATCCAGGTCGGGAATATAATAATAGTTAATATAGTAACCAGGTCGGGAATACAATAATAATTAATATAGTATCCAGGTCGGAAAATACATAATA